GGCGGGTGTTCGCTGCGGCTCCGCAGAGCGTCCTGGGCCCTGGTGGGGGCTCCCCGGAGGCTGGCGGGGGCTTCTCCCGGAGGCTGGCGGGGGCGAGCGCGGCTTTGGCGCAGCGTTGGGAATGTGCGACCGAGGGAGACCGGAGACTGCGCGCGTCCCACTGAGTCCCGGGTCCTAGCCAGGGGACGGTGCCAGCGGAGGAGTTCCCCTTCCACCCCCACTGTTCCAAAGGGACGATTTATGGATAAAAATGAAACGTTCCAAGGCACAATCCCATGTCTGCGGAAGGGAAATTGAAAAGGCAGTTCTAAAATTTGTGCAGCAGTGCAAAGGTCGAAGTATAACAAAAGCAATCTTGAAGAAGAAAGTTGGAAGACTTTACACTACCAGATATCAAGACCTATAAAAGTTATAGTATTTAAGTACAAAGCTACAGTGATTAAGAAAGTATGGTTTGGGCACAGGAGAGACAAGAAGACCAAAGGAAAGGTATCTATCTATCGATTGATAGTTATAGTCACTTGGTTCATAACAAAGGTGACATTGCAGATCAGTGGGGAAAAGGATGGACTTTTCAATAAATGAAGCTGGGTCATATACATTTGGAAAACAAAATTAATCTTGACCTTTGTCACACACAAAATCAGTTGCAGATTCATTGTGAGCTGATGCATCTAAATATGAAAGTAAAGCAATAAAGCTTTTAACAGAAAAACACGAGAGAAAATCTTTATGATCTTACACTAGCTAAGGATCTTAAAGAGGACACAAAAATCTCTAGGAATAAAGGAAAAAACTAGTGAATTAGCACCCTTAAAAATAAAAGTTTTCTTTATCAAAAGACACCATCCCGAGAATGAAAAGGAAAGCCACAGAACAGGATATGATGTCTGGTGTGTGTGTGTGTGTGTGTGTGTACATACATATCTGCCAGAGGACCCATATTTAGGATACATGAGGAATTACAAATTAATAATTTAAAAAACTGGCAAGCCAATTAACAAGGGAACTGAGCTAGGTATTTTAAGGGACAATCCAATAGGTGAACTCTCAGCACAAGAGAAGATTTGGAGAAGAGTCATAGGAAGACACTAAATAAGGAATATGTTAGGCTAAAAAGCAAGGCCACATTTAATAGTTGCAGGGCAAGAGTACAAATGGAAACCATATGTCTAAATATTTTAAAGTTCTAAGCCATGCCCATAAGCTGCTACATAAAATGTCTATCTTTCCGCCTTACAAATATATAATGATAAGGATGACCTGGGAGGCCAAGAGTTTTAGAATTCTCAGATTCATAGAAGTTCAGTGCCAGAAGTTGGAAATACTGGGAGAGATGGCCCTGGCCTCTGCCCATGGCCTGCCCCTGTTTACTCCCTTCCTTGACTGCATCTCCTCACCCAGCACCTCCCACAAACAGCTGCCATTTGGTCAGTGCCCAGCCCTAGGGATGTGCATACCAGCAATGTGATCAACGCTTGAGAGAACAGACCTGGGAAGAAAGCAGTGCAGGCTCAGGACAAGAGCTGGGCTATTTGGACCATGAATTCTGGTTCTCAGGTACCTAGCATAGTCTAGAAAGGGGGGGAGGGGCCATATCCCCTTGCCCTCACAAACGTCTCATTCATAGGGAGGGACGTGGCTAGAGTAGGGTCAGACTGGGAGCCTCTAAAGCAAGGACCTTTCTTACATGGGCTTAAGGGTCATACACCTAAGAAACAAGCTTCAGAATCTTACGCTACCCTTTCCCCTCTCTCTGCTCTTTGTGTCCTATGCTTGGACACCAAAACAAGTCAAAATTCTTTTTCTCTCATCATCTCTAACATTACCGCAATCACTTTGTGCTTTGGGTTTCACACCTGTCTTCTAGCTGCTCTTCTTGCTTTAGCCCCTTTACCTCTCCAGTCTTCTCTGAACATCATTACCAAATTAATCTTTCTAAAACACAGCATTCCTCACATCTACCCATACATCAAAGACTGCAATGGCTCACTGAAGCCAGCATCCTCAATTTCAAAGTCATAGCATTTTTAAAATTTTTTTTTTTTTAAGATTTTATTTATTTGCGAGAGAGACAATGAGAGAGAGATAGCATGAGAGGGAGGAGGGTCAGAGGGAGAAGCAGACTCCCTGCTGAGCAGGGAGCCTGATGTGGGACTCGATCCTGGGACTCCAGGATCATGACCTGAGCCGAAGGCAGTCGCTTAACCAACTGAGCCACCCAGGCGCCCTCAAAGTCATAGCATTTTATTAAGTCTTCCCATTGTAACTTTCTTGCCACATTTACCACACTACTTCAACGAAAGCCTTTGAAGTACCCTGATCATCATCAAGGTCAAATGAAAGTGTGTTAGATGGAGTTTTAATGTTGAGTGTGTATTAACCCTTCCAAAACTGATGAACCATGTACCAGATGGATCATAAAGTCCCTATTAATCAAAACCTTTAATTAGCTAGGATTTTCTATCTCACAATTGTTTTGAATAAAATAAGACTCACTATTTCTTTAGACCAAGGTCTTGGTTGCTCTTTAGCACTTTGGAGGTAGGACTGCTTCCTCCTCCAACAGAGCCTTTCGACACCTCTCCCTGAAGAATGCCACTCATACTCTTCTACCCCAGAAAACCTGCATTAAACAAGTCCTTGTTCCAGACAGTGTTCAAGGCATGGAGGACACAGGACGAGGTCCCTGTCCTCACAGAGCTCTGTTCCTGGGGAAGCTTACATTTTTCTGGATGCTACCTAGAGGAATTTAACTAGAGGAGCAAATATCCCTCCAGTTTCTGCTGCTGGAATTCTGGGTTGGAGTGACAGTTGTGAGAACAGGAATACCTTCTAGAGACACTCACATCTCAACATGTAGGATGAAGCTGCTTAAGTCCATATGGCACCTGAGTCATTTTCTCCTCTATTTCCTGTTCTTCCTAGATGCGGTAACTCCCACACAGAGATGAAGGAAAATAGAAAAATAACTCCGTGAGTTGCACTCAAAGGACATTGTGAAACCTAGAGTTACAAGGTGTCAGTGACTGTGAGGTGATGCCCATGCCTCCTACCCAGAGACCTCCAATGGAGCCCATACTCTCTTTTTGCCTGGGCCATGTTGCTATAGCATGATGCATGCTAAGAGTTTGCACATAGGGTAACAGGACTGTGAATGACCAACTTAATTAGATATTGGTGGCATCTTTTTTTAAAATTTTATTTATTTATAGGAGAGAGAGAGAGAGAGAGAGTGCCCATGCACATGGGTGGAGGGGAGGGGCAGAGGGAGAGGGAGAAGCAGACTCCCCGCTGAGGAGGGAGCCCTGAGATCATGACCCGAGCTGAAGGCAGATGCTTAACTGACTGAGCCACCCAGGTGCCCTGATGACAGCTTTTCAAATGAATAAAAATATTAATAAATTTAAGATAATTTTCCCCATCCCATAAATAACTAGTGGTGCTAAGGAGACAGGAATACACAAGGCATTTGAGAGGGGAGAATCATCAGGGAAAATTTCTTAGAATAAATCAGTTTTGAAACCAATCTAGAATGGGAGGAAACTGAGTCCTATCCTTATTGACCAAAGGAAAGGCCAAAGGCTACATCTTCCTCTACCCAATTTATCCCTAAAGCTCATCTGACTTTGGGTATCACTAAGGATACATCAACAGTTTAACATCAAGGTTTTACATAACTCCTGAGGCTGCCACTTGTGAAATTGTCTTCCCCTCAGATATTCCTGGGAGGGTGCATCTCATGCCAAGCCTCACCAAACCTCCTCTGTGGTTCACCAGCCTGCAGGGTGAATCCTACCCTTGTCTGGGCTATGTTGCCTGGTGTTCTCCCAAAGCTGGAAAGGCCATATAAGTGTCCCTGATGTCTCTACCAAAAGGGAAAGACTGCCTCTTCATAGAGTTCCCAATCCTAGAATAGAGCAAAGGAGTGACTCTTCTATTGTCTTTGATCCTACTGAAATTCTCGTTTCAGCTCCAAGCCTCCACTCCAAAACCCAGCCCCCTGCTCCTCCAGGCAGATCACCTCTCAGCCTGTCTGGAATACTGGTTGCAGCGCAGCTGAAAGAGCCTGCTCCGTCTTGGGTGGATTCCTAAGAGTTGAATTGCTGTGTCCTATGGTAAATTTATGTCTAATTTTTTAAAACACTACCAAACTGTTTTTCAAAGTGGATCTAGCATTTTACATTCCTACCAGCGATGCACAAGGGTCTTAATTTATCTGCATCCTTGATAACACTTGGTATTGTCTTTTACATTTTTATTTATTTATTTAAAAAAAAATTTTATCTATCCATTTATTTATCTAGAGAGCGCATGAGCAGGGGGGGGGGCAGGGGGGAGGGAGAGAGAAAATCTCAGGCAGGCTCCCTGCTGAGTGGGAAGCCTGACTTGGGGCTCAGCCGCATGACCCTGAGATCATGACCTGAGCTGAAACCAAGAGTGGGTCACTGAACCGACTGAGCCACCCAGATGCCCCAAGAATTCTTTTTATACTTTGGATAGAAGCCTCTTATCAGATATATGATTGGTAAATATTTCTCTCAGTTTGTTGTTTATCTTTTCATTTTTAATGATGTCTTCTGTAGTGCAAAAGTTTTAAATTTCAATGAATTCTAATTTACTGATTTTTTTCCTTTTATGGATTTTAAAGCTATAAATTTCCCACTAACTATGACCTTAGCTGTATCCAATATATTTTGATCTGTTGTGCTTTCATGTTCATAAAATTTGAAAAATTTTCTAAGTTTCTTTGTGATTTCTTCTTTGATCTATAGGCTATTTATTAACGTGTTGTTCAATTTTTAAATGTTCAAGGATTTCCCAAATTTCTTTCTGTTGTTGTTGTTTTTTCTTTTAGATTTTATTTATGTATTTATTTGACAGAGAGAGGGAGAGAGCACAAGCAGGGGGAGCGGCAGGCAGAGGGAGAGGGAGAAACAGGCTACCTGATGAACAGGGAGCCCGATGCGGGACTCGATCCCAGGACCCCAGGATCATGACCCAAGACGAAGGCAGACGCTTAACCGACTGAGCAAGCCAGGTACCCCTCTGTTGTTGATTTCTAATTTAAGTCTATGGTGGTCAGAGAATATACTTTGCATAATTCTAATCCTTTTTATTTATTGAGACTTTTATAGCCTAGCATGTGGTCTAGCTTGGAAATGTTCCACGCGTGATTGAAAAGAATGTGTCTTCTCCAGTCATTGTGTAGAGTGTTCTGTATAAGCTAATTAGGGTGCCTTGGTTGATAGTACTGTTCAAGTTTTGCTAGTTTTCTGACTAGTTGTTCTATTAATTATTTAAAATTGGATTTTGTATTTTTTTAAGTAAACTCTACCCCTCATGTGGGGCTTGAACTCATGACCCCAAGATTAAGAGTTACATGCTCTATTGACTGAGCCATCCAGGCACCCCTAAAATTGGGTTTTGAAATTTACAACTATAAATGTATATTTCTCCTTTTAATTCTGTCGGTTTTAGTTTCATGTATTTTGGAGCTGTATTGTAAGGTGCATTTGCACTTATAGTTGTTATATTTTATAACATATGGACCCTTTTTATCATTATGAAATGTCCCTTTTGTCTCTAACAATATTTGTTGTCTTAAAGACTATTTTATAATAACAGAGTTATGTGTATCCATTTTTTTTTAGGGCTGCTAACAAATGGGGTGGCTTAAAACAACAGAAATTGCTTCTCTCACAGTTCTGAAGCTGGAAGCCTGAAATTAAGGTGTCATCAGGCCATGCTTTCTCTCAAGGCTCTAGGAAAGAATCCTTCCCTGTCTCGTCCTAGCATCTGGTAGTCGTCAGCAGTCCCTGGTGCTCTTGGCTTAGATCCCTCCAATTTCTGCCTCCAACATCACATAGCAGTCTGTCTGTCTCTCTGTCCAAATTTCTCTCCTCTTATAAGGACATCAGTCATTGAATTAGGGCCTACTCTAATCTAGTATGACCTTATCTTAACTTGATTACATTTTTCAAAAACCGTATTTTTATTTTTATTTATTTATTTTTTTAAGATTTTATTTCTTTATTTGACAGAGAGACACAGCGAGAGAGGGAACACAAGCAGTGGGAGTGTTCGTGTTTTTGAATCAAGTTTGTGTCTCTGGTAGATAGAATTGGGTCTTTGCCTTTTTTTTTTAAGATTTATTTATTTATTTCAGAGAGAGAGAGCATGAGTTTGAGGGGTAGAGGGAGAGGGAGAGAGAATCTCAAGCAGACTCCCCACTGAGTGTGGAGCCCAAGGTAGGGCTGGATCTCACAACCCTGAGATCATGACCTGAGGCCAAATCAAGAGTCGGTCACTTAACTGACTGAGCCACCCAGGTGCCCCTGGGTCTTGCTTTTTTATGCTGTCTGTCAATCTCTATGTTTTGATTAGGGTGTTCAGAGAATTCAGGTTTAACATAATTATTGATATTAGTTATACATTTGTCATTTTGCTATTTGTTTTCTATCTTCTCCTTCTTGATTGCCTTCTTTTATGTTAAATAAATGTTTTCAGTATGCTATTTTATTATATAAAATATAATATATTTATTATATAAGTAAGTTATATTTTATTTATTTATTTTTAAGTAGGCTCCACACCCAACGTGGGGCTTGAACTCATGGCCTGGAAATCACGTCACATGCTCTACTGACTGAGCCAGTCAGGTGCCCCTCGTGTGCAATTTTAATTAATTGTTGATTACCTTTAGTATTTTTGAAAAATATTTTATTTTGGGGGGTGCCTGGGTAGCTCAGTCAGTTAAGTGTCCGACTCTTGGTTTTGGCTCAGGTAGTGATCTCAGGGTTGTAAGATCAAGCCCTGAGTCAGGTTCTGCGTTCAGCCCCCCCTCCAGCTCATGTGCACATGCTTGTGCTCTCTCTTTCTCTCTCAAATAAATAAATAAAATATTAATCTCTTCACCCAATGTGGGGTTTAAACCTACAGCCCCAAGATCAAGAGTTACATGCTCCACGAACTGAGCCACAGGTGTCCCTTTTAGTATTTTTTTTTTTTTAAAGATTTTATTTATTTGACAGAGAGAGAGACACAGCGAGAAAGGGAACACAAGCAGGGAGAGTGGGAGAGGGAGAAGCAGGCTTCCCGCTGAGCAGGGAGCCCGATGCGGGGCTCGATCCCAGGACCCTGGGACCATGACCCGAGCCGAAGGCAGACGCTTAACGACTGAGCCACCCAGGCGCCCCCCTTTTAGTATTTTTTTAAAGTTATTTTCCTGGGGTTGTTTTTGGGATTATAATGTGCATCTTAATTTTTTTAAAAAAAAATTTGCTGCAGCTTAATACTATTTTAATTCTGGTAAAATAATAAAAATTTGCTTTAATGTAGTTCTATTCTCTCCCCTCCTTCATGCTTTTATTCTTATAAATCCAACAATACAGTGTTATAATTGTTATTTTACATAATCTTATATTTTTAAATCTGTTAAGAGAAAAGAGAAAATGGGGTGCCTGGGTGGCTCAGTCGTTAAGCATCTGCCTTCGGCTCAGGTCATGATCCCGGGGTCCTGGGATCAAGCCCCGCATCGGGCTCCCTGGTCAGCGGGAAGCCTGCTTCTCCCTCTCCCACTCCCCCTGCTTGTGTTCCCTCTCTCGCTGTGTCTCTCTCTGTCAAATAAATAAATAAAATCTTAAAAAAAGAGAGAAAATGTGTGTATGGTTTTGATAATTACTTATATAAGTAACTTTATAGGAATTCTTCATCACTTTCTGTTGATTTGAATTACCATCTGGTACCATTGCCCTATCGGCTGCAGGATAGTATGTCTTACAATAGACATAGACTCTCCTGCCTCCAGGAAATCCCTTTCACTGACAATGATCCTGGGTGTCATCATCCACTGCTCCAAACTGAGTGAGCCCCTTTCAATGTCAATAGAAAAGCTACTGGTTCTTCTGGACCTTTCTCCCTGGCAGGATGCCATGTTGATGGCGTAGATGGAGTCAGCCCCAGACTAGAATGCCATAGAGCTCCACAACGTCCAGCAAGTGCTCATGCATAAACACTCCTCAGATTGTTGTATGCCTTTGGTCAATTTCCAAAGTGCTGAAATGGTTGTTTTAGGGCAATTTCATCCATCTTTGTAGTTGCTTCTGGGGAAGAGTATTTGACAGTCTCCTTACTCAGCCAAAAGTCCTGCCTCATTCACTGTCCCTCCCAATGCTGTTGTAATTAATTCCTTGAACCAAATTCCCTCCATATTATTTATTTTCCCTCTATTTTAAATAGCTAGAGTGGTTTCTGTTTTCCTGACCAGACACAACTCAAACACTGTAATCTTTAGGAACTTACTGAAAGTCCAGTCATTTGAATAGGAAATCATTCTCAGAGATTCGGTACCATTCATATGCTCCCGTCTTCAGTTTCTTCACTCATAAAGTGAACTTAATAACACTTACCTAATTAAATTGTTCTGTGGAATAAGTGAGCTGATGTGTAGAAATCATCTGGGACACAACACAAATTAGTACAAATTAAAGTTTCTTTTTCCTCCAGTTTAGCCCCAATTCCTTTTATTGTTCCAAGAAATAGCCAGAATACTCCCTCAACAAATTCTTGTGAAAATCCACACAAGGGAACTAGAAAGAAGCCAAGTTAATTAAACTGTTCGGTGATTCATTAGCTCTAGTGCCAAATTTCCTTTTCGTTCCCCACAACAAAACTGTCCAAAGACTCGTAGTTGAGTTTTATTTTTATGACTGGATTGATTAAAACAGGTTAGCTTTTTTCTCATACTTGAATCTCGCTCTTATTCTTGTGAATAAGCAGGACTTTTAATACTGCAGAAACAGTAGACCTTCCATAGCTCCATGCATAAATTATGATGTTTGCTTGTTAGCAATCCTGTCTGTGACGTCAGTAGCCGAGTCAGCTAACAGTTGCTGGGCAATGCCACAGTCTTGAACTGTAGTGTAGATGTAAATAGATTCCGGTTGCTGAATTAAAAAAAAAAAAAAAAACACACAAAAAAAACCCCCAAACTGGGTTTCTTACATTTAGAGTGAATTCAGGGGTCTGCTCTTTTGCTTAGAGAGTGGAAAGTATCTTCTCATCAAGGTAAGCAAAAATGTCCATGTTTTCCCCCCTTGTTGGCTCCCTG